CATGGTAATCTCTGCCAATCCAGACCTATTGTACAAAACAGCTGAATTAAGTATTAAGTCTTTTTTGTGTAGTTGGTTTGCATTGAACAGGGTCACGTCTGTCAAGTGATGAAGAAGCCGAAGTCGCACCACCAAATCCTGCATCATGAACCACAGTGGAACCTTCTATTCTTAATCTGCAGGGATGCCACGAGTTCTCCAGCGAGCTGTACCAGTGCCTGCGGACCCGCGTGGCATCGGAGCACTTCTACTTCTGGCTGAACAGCTTAAAGGAGTTCTCCCAGGCAGAGCAGTGCCTCAGTAGCGTGGAGGATGGAGACTACAGCGGAGCCTTGGGCGCCATCGCCGAGGCCCTGCGCTCCTACCAAAAGGGCATCGCATCCCTCACAGTGAGTAGAAAAAACCCCACACATGAATATACACTCCCTCCTGTTCCCAATGGTAGATGCTGCAAGCCGCTGGTGCTCAGGCTGCAGTGTTTTGTATTGAAGCCGATCTTGCCGCATCTGAAATAGCTATTGGATTAAATCCCCCGATGCCTGATTGTATCTCGTTAGACACTGTGACACCCTTCAACCGTTGTCTCCGCCCGCCATGATCTGATTTAATCCCTCCCTGCAGGCGGCCAGCACTCCCCTGAGCCCACTCACGTTCCAGTGTGAGTTCATCAAGCTGCGCATAGACACCCTGCAGGCCCTGTCGCAGCTCATCTGTACCTGCAACAGCTTGAAGACCAGCCCTCCTCCGGCCATCGCCACCACCATTGCCCTGACCTCGGGCAACGACCTGCAGCGGTGCGGCCGCATCGCCATGCAGGTAAACCGCTCGCGCTGGATTCACCTGGAACCAGGCAGGTTTTTACAAGTAAAGCACCCAAACAGTGGCCCAAGGAAACGCACGTGGCTCCATGTTGCTATGGTGATGGAATAGAACATGTTGAGTAAGAAACGTTGCGTCTACTATTTGATGTAGTTTTTCTGGTAATGCATGTACCACTAGGATGCAGCTGTCCCCTTGCAAACGTAAAGACGAGTTGAAATATTTGAACTTTGAACGGCATTGCCGTCTACAGTCCTTGCCGCTGGTATTTCCTGGCAATCATGTTGCGACATGCTGTAGCATACCTACTACGTGATTATTTTCAAAACATGACTCTGACATGTACCATTTCACCTGGACCTAAACCTAATTAGAGGACATTAAATGACTAATACCCCCCGGTGTCCACATGTCATTAACCATCAGGCCTCCGTGTTTCTTCTTTTCCCCAGATGAAGGTATGCATGGATGAGTTCAGGAGTCTTGCCGCTCGCTACTCTGATCTACACCAGTCGTCGTTTGACGCGGATTACGCCACCCTTCGCAACGTGGAGCTGTATCCTCACACATGCCTCAATCGCATCACAGTTTTGTCTCTCTCGTCAGCCCTGGTGTCTCTGCCGTAGTGTCTTTAACCGTCTGCTGCCCAGACAACAGCAGAGCTGTTTGCTTGTCTCCCACGTTATAGAAGCGCTGATACTGGACCCACAGGCAGCGAGGTGAGAGCTGGAACAGTTTGAATTAATTTGCTGGGTGTTTGGCCGTGGACATTTAGCCTCAATGTCATATCCCAATTTTCATTTCCATGTTTTAAAATAAGAGTGCTCGGTTGCGCCTCCATTGTCTAATACCAAGGCACAACGCCTCTTAAACATCTGCAGGAGACAAAGCTGAGGTTTTTAATGTTTAATTTCTCTGATTTTCTGCTCTGGTCTCACTCACGTAGCTCCCTCTTCTCGTGCTGTTTTACACAGTGTCTCATACTGAGAGGAATGCCGTCCTGTTTCAACCAACAACAGCATGGCGTGTGGTTGTAGATCACAACGTAATGAAAACAGATTCACTTTATTTAATTAGACAAAAAGACGCCATGTACTGGAGTGTTTTCTATGGAAAGTGCTCATCAATGACACACATCCCTGGAAGCTTTCTGGTGGCGGACGTCGGCCTCTAACAGATCTCTCTCTGTAATCAAGCTTTCAGGAGTATGGGAACTTGGGCTCGGTTCAGACAGAGAGTGAATATGAGCGACGGATGATGTCCGTCTTCACTCACGTGTTGGAGGAAGTGGAGGGCCTCACCCAAAAACACCCCCCTGTTTCCCATCTGGTAGGATTCCTATCGAATACCGTGTGATCACATTGGTGATGTTAACAATTTAGCTACAAGGTGTCTAGATTCAAATTGACTTTTGTATAGTATTAAATATGTTGAGCAGCCGTTGATTAAGGCATGATGACCTGAACATTTAAGGAAACAGCGACAAACTTCTCATAATGTCAATAATTGTTGTCGTTTTGCAGCATACAGGTTGTCTCTGTGATGCTGTCATCGCTCTGCTCAAGGTCCCGCTGTCTTTCCAGAGGTATTTCTTCCAAAAGCTCCAATCAACCAGCATTAAGGTAGTGACACATTTAATATTCACTTTAATAAGAAAAACACAAAAATCAAACATTCCAATTTACAATGATAACGTTTACTATTACCAATGTATGATTTTTCTCTTTATTGGAGAAGTAAATGCAGTAAACTTTTGATCTTACTCTTACTCCTTTTATTTGTCCATGTCCAGCTGGCCCTCTCGCCTTCCCCACGGACACCGAATGAAGCGATCCCAGTGCAGAGCAGCCAGCAGCTGACTCTGAAGGTGGAGGGGGTGGTGCAGCACGGTTCAACGCCAGGACTCTTCAGGAAGATCCAGTCCGTCTGTCTCAATGTCACGTCCGTCTTGCAGAGCAAGGCGGGAGCTGACTTCAAGGTATCGCGCGCTTTTCTTCCCGTTTGGTTATGGTGCAGGTGGTGAGCGAAACAAATTCTCCTGCGCTCTTAGTACAGTGGTGTGAAATGTATTTGTTCTCTTGCATTTCTGGCACACTTTTTGGGCATAATTCAGATTGTCAAATAAAGATAATCGGTGTAAATGCAAAATGCAGTTTTTAAATGATTTCATTTTATTAAGGGGAGGAAGCTGGCCCTAATATATTAACATTTGTTTGGTAATCTGAAAACATTTTAAATGTGACACATATGCAAAAAAAAGAAGAGAGAAAACCGGAAGGGGGCAAATACTTTTTCACAGCACTGTATATAGACGTGTATACATGTATATTTTTCATGTAATCCAGCTCAATTCTGGTGTTCTCAACCCATGTAAACGGTGTTTAGCTTAATGCTGTATTAGTCCACAGCTCACGCCGTTCTGATGTCTGTGCTCCAGCTCGTTGTTCTGTCGCCGTTCTGACTATAGCACCGGCTCCCATGTCTCTCATCGCTCCCCTTTCAGGTTCCACTCGACACTAAAACCAATGAGATCGAGCAGCGGGTGGGACCCCACAACGACTACTTCAGCACCCAGTTCTTGCTCAACTTCTCCGTCTTGGGCACTCACACCGTCACCGTGGAGGCCTCGGTGGTGGATGAGAGTGGCACCGAGTGGAAGACCGGCCCCAAGACGACGGTGTCGGTCAAGTCCCTGGAGGACCCTTACTCCCAGCAGCTCCGCCACCAGCTGCAGCAGGGTGGGACGCAGCCGGCCCCACAGAGGAGCGCATATGCTCGCTTCTAGCGGATGACCTCCTACCAGATAGTGTTCTTGACCTGTTTTGGTTAAACCAAATATGTACATACTTTTTCATTGATTAAAAGACCAGATGTCATTTTAATGCTGCATATTGCTTGGATTCCTCCCCGGGTTATATTGGCCAGGTGTGAAGGACACTCGTTTATGTACATCTGCAGTCCACACATTGGCCTTTAATACAATTTTAAGGTTAAAGCGATCACCATGAAGGTCGGCCACTGGAGAAAGTTAAACGGGTTTTAATTCCCTGTGTAGGTAATTAATCCAATAGTATTTTATGTATGCGGACAATTTGGTATTGAAAGTCATCAATTCTACATATGGTGTAATACCATAGAGAGCCACTAGGGGACAGGCCAAGGTCACTAAATGTACATCATTGTCTAAAGAACAAGAAGAAAATCTAAATCGGTCATTTTCATACATATAACAACTTTAATACGTCCGCATCAATACTTCTTGGTTAGATATTTCTCATTCCTACGGTGTAACATGTAATATCACCTTTATAGAATTGTAACCATAAGCTTTTCAAATATCCGACAGCATTACTCTTTAGCTCCAAACTAGCATTACTCCCAACATACAATAATAGAGTACAAATTAACCATCGCCTTTGCCAGATAAAATTTAAATGAAATCTGTCGATTTTAAACGATGAAGCCGCGCACCCAAACCGGTGACGTAACGCAAGGAATAGCTCGCTGTCGGACGTGAGTCAGTAAGATTTAAGATGAAGTCATAGGACAGTCGCTGAATAAAAAGAGCGACCTTGTTCATGGATACTGAAATCATCAGCACTTGACATCAAGAGTCTGCGCACTTAACGGTTCCAAGCTGGCGTCAGGCGAGTCAAGTTAGAAAGCGCACAAATAGAAGTAACGTACCTTGTTTTCAAAATAAAATAGTTTACTGAACGCATAACATACGCGCTCACGCCACATGGAGACCAAGGTAGTGCATCTTTTAACGTACTCACTATGGAATAATAGTCCGAGCACATCCACAGAAATAAATATTCACATTGGTCATTTTTATCTAACGGGTTCAGTATTCGCTGCAAGTATTAAGATTATTTTTTTCCAATTTCGTTTTCCAATTTGTATACTTATTTATACAATGTATGTTTGGTTTCCTCTTAGCGTTAAAATGCACTGATGGCGCTCATTCTTCACACAGTATCACATTGGATAATGATAATGTCATTGTCTTTTATTGAATGCACTATTTAAGTTATATATTAAGTGGCGACGGTCTTGTAATATCATACAAATATGGGTCATTATTATCATTTAAAAATATACAGCTGTCAAAGATTAAAAAAAAGATTCAATCGACGCTTTTATTCTGAAGGCGATGCCGACCCATTTCCGCTCGTGCTCTTTTGATCTTTTGTGTACACTGGCGCTGTGCGAGTAGAGGTCCTCGAGAAAGATAACGGGTCTTCTTACCAGCCTTAGAAACTCACACACACAAAAAAATCTCTGCTCCTCGTACTTGCTGTGCTTATGTCGTTTACGGTTTGCGTTCTTGCGACCAGCAGCGTTGATTCGAGGCCCGGTCCAAACGGCCTCTCGTGCACCGTCGCGAATGGGAGCTCAGTAGCTAGCTAAATCGACGACGGAGATGATGGTGCATCAGTGGATTTATCCCGGTGTCTCCGACTGAGATGGAGCCAGCGACGCTTGAGCGGAGTTGCTTGCTAGCTAGCTAGCGAGCTAACGGGTGCCCGCCGGGGTCCACTGTGCCCGAGCAGCCCGGGATTAACGCCAGCTAAATGGGCGCTGCTGCAATTTTATCGCGCGGGATTATTTGCAACGTTCTCCGACGTTTTCCTCCCCGTCCCCGGATTTGAGAGAAAGCGAGAGACCCAACCATGTCGATTAGCAAATTATGCTAACGTAACGTCAAAGGTTAGCTACACGTGACACCGTTCCATCTCGTTTTAAAACCGTTAAGACGCATCTCTGGCCGTCCTCGGGGGCTTCAGTCACGTTCATTTGGGTGAGTATGAGCCACTACAGGGTCAGACTATAATCTGGATGAGCCATGGGGATCTTTGCCCTTTGCACAAACCCCCCAGGCGTCCCTTAGTTGACGTTTGGTGTCGTCTCCTTCTTAAGTTAATTTGTTATATCCGCTATTGTGTCGTTGTGCCTTTGCCACCTTGTTCCAGTCCGCGGGTTGTCACACCCGACACATTTCCGAAGACCGTTTTCCCGTTATGCTAACGTTACCCCAGCCAGCCAGCTAGCTAGCTAGCTAGCAAGTCATGAAGTGATCCATCGCGTCACGGGCGACCGGGTCCTTTTTATAGTCCCGTCCGTGCACGTAATACTTTTAAGGACATGGCAGCTGGCTTAGCGGACAGTCGCCGAACCAAGTGGCGACATTTCAGAATAAAACCGGTTGAAAAAGAAGGCAATAAAACGCCAGAAGAACCGAAGACTGTGAGTGTGTCACATTTACGCTCCGTGAATTAGCCTCACCCTCGACCGGTTAGCGGCGGACTCGGCGTGTGTGCGCGCTTTTAACGTTGGGTTCCATTTATCTCTAGCGGATGTGTTCTTCCTGCTCCGACCGCATTGGTGGTGGTGTTGTTGTTGTTGTTGTACAGCAATGGACTTTGAGTACCCGCGGCCCTCCTCGTCGCGTCTTGTGCCAAAGCGCCCGGGATGCTGACTTGTGTGTGTGTGTCTCTGTTGCAGACGGTGCGCGTCACGATGGCACAGCTGTTGGACGGGGCCGGCGAGCTGGGCTGGGTTCTGCTCAAGTCCGTGATCCGCTTCGTGTTCATGGTCTTCAACAACTGTGCGGCCATCCCGTCCTACTGCTTGTACCTAGTGCTCCTCCAGCCGCTCAGAATATGGGACAGCTCCGCTTTCTGGCACATCGAAGGAATCATGTTCAAGTGGCTGCTGGCCATGGTGTCCTCGTGGGGCTGGATCGCAGGTTACACAGGTAAGCGGGGGTTCACGAGATGCACTCTTGGCGTGCATGCGGAGACATGTTTGCATGGAGGACTCGGTGATAAAAAAAAAAGCTTCCTGATGCACTCAAGAGATTCTTATAAAAAAAAACGTGGAGTTGTCCCTTTTAGTTTTAGGTTTCTATAATAATTAATCTGACAATATCTGATAAGCCATTTGTGTTTAACCCATCTGAATGGGGGGTGGGGCGCTCTGTTTTCCCACCAGATCATACAGATGGTTTGAGTTTGGAGGATACCCTCCATACAGCAGGAAGTTTAGTTTCAACACCTTCGGGGGTTTTCTTGGCTTACCTCAGTGACTCCAATGTAAACACAGAGACAGGGACCTCGGGTGCTGCTTATTAAACAATGTGTGAACATGGACTCAAATGTGTCTACCCCACTGCCCTGACACGGGGTTAGGACATATGACTGAATGGGTAATGAATGAAATGCTTGTCTTTGTTTTGAATAATAAGTGCAATAAATTCTTGTTGCTTCACTTTCAATAGAGCTTCAGTAGCGGTGTCAACACCCCCAGCTTGAAACGCACAGTTTGGTCCATTCCTATTACTGTTGATATGATCATATCTGTACTGTAAGATATGTAAGTTCTTGTTTTGACTAAACACCATGACGTCCCACGCATGGTTTTTGTAGTAATTCAACGGGTGTGTTTGTGGTTTCCTCTCAGCTGGCTGCTCGAATATCTGGAAGGGACTCGAGCAGTCACGGGTGTTCGGTTGCACGCTTACAAATGACAAAGTGGTGAACACGGGGCGCAACCAGGCGTACCGATCAATAATGCAAAGTGTCCAGTGCCTGTCAGTGAGATACCATCCGGTGACGCGAATTGTGGCTTAAGTTACAATTGGACTATTAAATACATCGTAGCTGATGTTTTCAATCTGGGTGTGTTTCTGGCGTTGGGTCGTCCCACGTGTGCTGCTCATTAGGACTGTAGTCCGAACAGTCTTATCAGAATTTATGATTTTTTTTTTCCAGCTACAGTTCGCCTTAAATTACTTATGAGGGAGCTTTGTATTATCAGGCCTAATAATCATTTAAGTGACTGGTGAAGTATTTCCGAAAAGATTGGCCATGGTGGCCGCCGGATAATGGGAGTTTTACCTCAACAGTAAAATGTCCTCCATTTTATTTGTATTTTCCTGCAAAAGCATGCCAAGTTTTATGTTTTTGGTATTGTCTAGGTTGGCATGTGTAGATCAGCACGGAAAGGGTGACTTGTGTTAGACTGCTGTCAGATATTGGTTACATTACAAAAATACAGTGAAAAAATTATAAGAAGGGAGATCAAAGTAGTAAATCGCTCTGGGATAATAAATGACTGCGATATCCACGTGGCTTTCGTTTAGCGGTCAGAGCATTTGAGTGTCAGTGTTGTGACCCCCATCCAAGGTCATTTCGACAATAAAGGTTCATTCAACCCGTTGACCTTTCCCCCTCGTCTTGGTTAACCACCAATTCCCCGTAATGTGAACGACCTTTGAATCGGAGCAGCACACACAATGTAGATACGCCAGATTTCGCCCAAAGTCCGCGGTTTATTTTATTTTCCCATTTACGGTGCACATTTGTCTGCATTCTTTCCAAGTAACAGCTGTGTTGTTGTTGTTGGTGTTGCCATCTGCACCACTAGCCCCCGACTGAAACCAATTCCATGCAACAAATCCCTGCTAGTGTTTTGCATCGAAAAAAAGACAAATTACATTCTGGTCGCGTAGTTACATGTAGAGCATTGACGTAGGATGTTGCAACACTTCTATTGCAAGAAGAAGCGGAACGACGATGCAGAGATACTACACTGTTGTATTTTGTTACTACACAGGCATGCTGTCAGTCCCACGAGGGGACTCCTAACGTCACCACGTGTATCAATGGGACACTTTAGACTCAAAGACACATGGTCTGGTTTCGCTAGACTCTACTCACCTTTTGGAAGCAAAAGGTAAAGGCGGCTAGCGCCAATGTTGTCGCTAGCTGCAGTGCCAGCGTTTACCCCAAACCATTTGAACAGATTCTTAGAGATCAGAGCGACGCAGCTTTCTCAACCCTCCTAACGTTTCTGTGCTCTGCTGATCCCTTTTTCAGACACCACCACATTTTGACTACAGCCAATTATGGTGATTGCTATTCTTTTGCCCCACTTTGCAGTGCTAACTTTGAGAAAATCTGTTGGCTTTTGTGCGTCAAGAATGAATTGTTTTGTTAACGTTAAACGTTAGTCACCCAAATGCGAGAATTGAGCAGGGAGCGGCATTATTTAACGGCGTTACTGTTGTGTGGTCACTTGTTTGGCCAATTGACCTAATCGTCTTTTCCTCGTTGTTGACCAATCAAACCCGATGACCCACACCAGTGGGGTCAAACAGGTCAACAAAAGACAGCAGGATTAAGTCTTCATCTGTGTTGATTGAGTGACCGCTCCGTTGGGTCCGTGGCGAGAGATCAGATATGGTGATTGTAAGAATGGTCCCAGGACAAAGGACGAAAGCAGGCAATCGTGTCTGTGTGATTGCATATGTTACATTTCAGCTGGAGAGAGATCAGATCTCAGATGTGATAAACTGCAGTGAGGACTGGAGTAACTTCACCTCTCTTTAAAGCTATAAAAGAGACTCTGCGTTCCTGCCTCCGTGCACCCACACACGTGTTATCATCTACTTGGCTGATTAGACTTCTTCTCTGGAATGTGTAGGTGTGTACAGATCGTACTTGATTGACATGACTTACTGTCTAATCTTATTTGCGTCTGTTTGACAAAGACAAAATGATCAGATTTTTGTTTTTCTGTGCGTAGACTAAACATCGTCACCTGTCCGATCTTTGTCAAATGGTGTCTCCTGTTTGTCGTTAACGTTCTGTGCATTCGCAAACATTTCTTTACTGTCAGCATCTTGAAAGCCTCATAGAAGTCTCTGCGGGACTAATAAGGGATTATCTTACCTTATCATCTTATCTTTAGCACTGTCTACTTTTGAAAGATATCGTTCAAGGACTGGTTGCCTTTTTCTGGCCTTGCTTACAGCCTTTTGGTTAAAGTTGAATGTGTGCATTGAAGACGCAATGCAGGTCAAGATGCAATTGTGTTGTCAATACGGGATCTTCCTATAGAATAATGGCGCTGCAGCTTGGGGGTGAGAGGGCGATGGCTTGAATGGGAATTAACATCCCTTTTGTTCTTGAGCCCCGAACCTTGTTTGCATAAGCGGAGGCTGGCGTCTCAGATGGGAAATATCCTTGTGGATGACAACACATGATGCGGCAAATCCATATTTTAATGTTGATCTGTTTTCAATGATACCAAAAAGCTTTTAGAAGCAATGGATTTGTTCATATTTGATTTTAACTTTTTTAATTAGTAGAAGAAGTTACAGGCAATTTTAGGGACCCCTTTACTCCATTGAAAGCAACATGGAAACTCCAAACATGGCGGCCTCATCTGTTTTACGTACCAGGCGACGGATTTAATTTCATTCTGAATTCACTCAACTTGTCGAGATGGTTCAGACACGAGGTCGGCAACCTTTTCGCTGGTGTCATATTTTTATTTTCTTGTTTTCATCACGGGACCATATCAACATCTCTTGTCTGCGGGAAACCAAAAGTAATGAAATGTTCAATGAGTTTTTAACGGCACAGAAACGTGATGTTTTACTAACCAGCGAGCTGAATTTGAATAGTTGAAAGGTGTGTCAAAATTAAAGTGTGTGTGTCCGAGAGTGTGTGTGCACTTGAGGCGGCCTCACTCTGGTTTAGACAATTGTAACAAACACAAACACCCACGACATTTTAGTGTTTTAAGAAATATTGTACCTCCTGGTAAATGAACATTTCAGGAGGCCATGTTGAGATTTTTTTTTTTTTAGTTAGTTCAATCATGCGGGCCAGTTTATTACTGAGATTAACTATTTTTGTTGGAAAGGGTAACTTGTCAGGGCTCTGCGATTGCGACAGGCTTTTGATTTTCGGTAATGCAATTTCTTGTTACTCATTAGCCAACAGTCAGCAATAAAATAGCAACTACCAGCTGCGATCCAATCTCCATTACTGCTGCTTTTTCAATTTAGAAAATCAGCGTTGTATTTCCAGCCAAAGCGTCCAATGTTCGCTCTGAGAATTGTCGCTCTTAACCCGGTAGACCACAAAGCTTAAACCCTCACTGAAAATGGTGTGCGTGTTGATGGAAGAAGGCAGGAGGGAGGGGGGGACAAGGTCAGCGGAACAGCGTTTAGCTGACCACCGCTAGCGGAGTTGACTGTGTGTGTGTGTGTGTGTGTGTGTGTGCGCGCGCGCGCGCGCGCCTGCAGCCGGGCTGTCACGCTGCACCGCTAACCGTGTCATTGCTCAGAGACAATTTCCCTAATGTACTCCATCTGACAGATGACCCATCTCTCTGATATCCTTTATGCCCACCCCCCTGCAGCACCGGGGCCTTCAGCGCCTGCTCCTTTTATGAAACGACATTGTCTTCAGGCGTGTTGTCAGGGTTCATTGGAGAACCTCGGGTGGAACAATGGTTCACGTGTCGTCGCTTACGTCCTGCATCCCGTGCACACGTTCAAATGTAAATGAAGCCACGCTTCTATCTGCAAGCGAGCTTGTGGAATGACTTTGAGCTGGATGGCGAGCAGCGGGTACAGACTTTAACGGTGCAATGAGATCAGCGTGCAACCTTTTTAGTGGTCAGGAGCGATCCCGTCAGGGGAAGGAGTTGGCCTTTTACTGCGAGCCGTGCAGGAATGGTTAAGCTGACGGGTTGCTTGATATGCCTTTTTTCTCTTCTCTCTCTCGCGGTTACGACAGCAGATCCTGTGTCTCATCCATTCAGAGCGTACGCCTGCAAAATGGCAGTTTTTTTTTTAAAACATAAAATGCCTGCCGTGGTTGACGTGAGTTGGCTATGGAATTGTGGACCTCGGCTGACGCGGCGACTAACTCAGTTGTTGATTGCTGTTGATTTTCTCTG